TCCCCACGCGCAGGCTGCGGATCACCACCCGTAAGACGCCTTGCGGCAACGGTACCAACACGTGGGACACGTACGAGCTGAAGATCTACAAGCGCCTCGTGGAGCTCCGCGCGCCGACGGAGCTGGTGAAGAAGATCACGTCCTTCCCCATTGACGCCGGCGTGGACGTCGCCATCACGATCCCGCACGACCAGTAGTCCGCCCCCGCGGGAGGGGAGGCGGGCCACCGCGCCGCAGCCGCATCATAACGCCATCTGGCGGGAAGGGACTCTCTTTTCCCCCAGCGTCGTCACGCCGATTATATTAATCTTTTTTTTTCTCTGTTTTCTCTTCTTTCCTTTTTCCACTCAAGTGGACACGCACCCCCTCGCCGTCTTGCCTCCCCGCAGCCGCATTGGGAAGAGGGTGAGCTGCGGTGTCGTCTCGGCTTCATTGCCGGTGTTTGCTTCTCCCTCCCCGCACGGCTTGCTTTTTTGTATTTTTTCTTGTTTGGGGGTGATGGACGTGTGTCTGGGTGCGTGCTGCTTCAACGATGCAGTTGTAGGTGTGGGCGTAGGAGGGGGGCAAGGCGCGGCAAGCGGACGGGCAGCAGGCGGTCGACCACGAATGCAGCGGCCGCAATTGAGTTGCCGGGGAGAGGCAGCGAGGATGCAGCGGCGGAAGCAGCCCCCAGTGCCCGGCGCGGGGAAGGAGCCTACAGCCGCGGTGGGCGCGGAGGGGGCCCCGCCCCGACATGCCGTGCTGGAGTCTGCGCTTGTGAAGAATCTCAAGAAGCAAATCACGTGCCTCGAGATGGAGGTGGCCGTGCTGAAGGGAAGCTCGAAAACGCTGCCGGAGCTGAACGGAGCCACCACAGGTAACACGTGCGCTGCTGATGCAGCGGCACGGGGCTTGGGCTCCGCGGCCGCAGATACGGCCCCCACCGCCGCCCACGCCCGCGTGCACCCTTCCACGCTGTGGGACGACGCCGGTGAGAAGGAGGCGCGGCGACGGGAGTCTCTCCAGAGTGCGAATGCGGCATCGCTTCAGTTCACCGCGCAGCGCCTCCGCCTCGACAAAGAGGCACTTGAGGTGCGTCTGCGGTGCGAGCAAGAGGAGAAGCAAAAGTTGTCAATGGAAAACGCCCGTCTGCTCCTGGCACTTCGTGAGAGCCGTGGGAAGGGGGAGGAGGCCCATAGGCGCCTGGCCGAGGCGCTGAGTGCCCTCAACACGGAGCAGGGGAGACGACGGGAGGTGGAAGACAAACTGCGCGTCCCGCCGCCCGCGGAGGGGGACGCGGAGTGCAGGGAGGATATTTTTAGCGAAAAGGAGTACTACCGCGTCCAAACAGATCGGCTGCGGGTTGCCCAGCAAGACGGCCTTGTCTGCATCGCAGAACTGGAGAAACAGCTGAAAACAGAACGGGCGCGGGCTGCGGAGGCAGAGTCGCAGTTGTGTGCTGCGCTGGAGGAAGTCCGGCGGCTAAACAGCTTAGCTGCGGAAAGGTCTAGCGTGTACGAGAGCTTGGACAAAAGCTACGCAGGAATGTGCACACTTTTGCAAATGGCCGTGGACGACTGCGACGCACTTCAACATCAGCTACGACAGCGTCAGCCAGATGCGTTCTCGCCTGCCTCATCGGTTTCCATTACTGAAACTTTGCGTGGGCTGGAGCAGATATCCTCCGCCCTGAAGAAAGAGGTTGTGGAGGGAGTGCGTCGTGCGGACGGTGGAAAGGCATTAGACGAAGAACGTTCCCTGTGCGGTCTTGATAAGGCAACGTTTTCCTCCCCACCACCCGCAGCCGCAGTGCCACCACCACCCGCAGCCGCAGTGCCACCACCACCACCCGCAGCCGCAGTGCCACCACCACCACCCGCAGCCGCAGTGCCACCACCACCCGCAGCCGCAGTGCCACCACCACCACCCGCAGCCGCAGTGCCACCACCACCCGCAGCTACTGCCGTAACGTCGGTGAGTGCTCATGAGCCACCCAAAATACAAGAAACCTCTTTGCGTGACGCAATAGATGATGAGCTGGAGAATATTGAACGTAGAATTCGCGAGGAAGAAGCATCGTTGCTTGCCTACCTCAACTCACGGTAGGATTGTTCATGAAAAAGAGTGGCATTGTTGCCCCTGTGTCTGGCTTTTTTTTTTCGCGTGTATGAGTATTTGAGCTGCAAAGTAAACCCCCCACTCCTGTGGAGTACTACATTTTTCCCCTTACTAAAAATCTCGGCAGACCACTTTTATCCTCTTCGCGTTGGTGGGTAGTGTGAAAGCAATGTTGTTCAGCTGCATGCTGCCCAGCTGGGCAGGGCCGCGGGAACTTGCCAGCATCACAGCACTTCTGTGAGCAGCTGCCAGAGTTGCATGAGGAATGACGGCGGCGGAGGTGAACCTCCTTGCGGAAGCGCCGGCGAGGAGACGGATGGTCCGTCGTACGCCGCGGGCGAAAAGATTAAGGCGGCAGGCCCCGGCAGTGTTAACGGCGATCATCATGCGCAATAAATCAACGAGAGAAGTGTCAGTTGAAATACAACCCAAAAGAAGACGATAAAAAAAGAAAATAACCCCTCGTGTGGATTTTGCAACTGCGGTCGCCCAAATTGCCGCGCGCTCTCCCCCTATTCACCACGCGGCCTCTGCAGCGTGCCCACGCGCGGAGGGAACAACGGGCTGGAGGAAGAGCGAGAGGGGGGGGGGAGTTTATTAGTGGTTGGAGGCAACAGGGAGGGCGCCGCCTGCTCGACGCGAGAAACAACCGGGTCGCCGACGCATGGAGGCCCGCGCAACGCGTCACCATTCATGCGGGGAACACACGAGACAGCCACCGTCGCCGCTACTGTCACTCCTGCGACAGCGCCGTTTCCTCCACTCATGGGCCTCCATCCACTTCCCTCCACCCGCCGCGCCATGCGGCAGGCCACCGTTACGATGTCGTGTACAGTGGGCACTTGCCTGCGGAGCGTGAACGGCACGTAAACCAGAAAGCCTGCAACGGCCCAATGGAATAACGGTGTTAAAGCAACGCTATAAATTGCTCTTTCTGTCGCGGCAAAACACAAAAAAAAACAGCCCAAACTGACATCGTGCGTCAATATACCACACATTGAGTTATTACCCCGAATATAAACAAGGCCTTCGACGCTGACGCGGCATTTCTCGGAGTAATGTGACTCTCCTCTCTGACGCAAGACACCTAAGAATAATGAGACTTGCGGCTTCACACCATACTCCTGCACATCAACTAAACCAAGAGACACAAACACCATAACTGCAGAAACCTTTTTTTGTTATTAATTCCTTCTTCTTCTGCAGACAAGGCAACTGCCGCTGCCAACACAGCCACTCCCAGCAAGCCAACACACACGCGCTTTCCCCGAGCCATGCGCCGGACACGCTGCCCCGCGCCGCTTCTCCCGCTGGCGGCGCTCCTGCTACTGCTGGCGATGCACTGCGCTGGCGGGTGCCTCGCCGCCGCCCCCGCCCTCAACCACCGCTGCAACTTCGACGAGGCGATGCGGAAGAGCGGCCCGCTGCCGACGGCGGTGGTGCGTGAGGTGCCGCGCAGGGGAGAGGGCGCGGCGCAGGCGTACACCGCCGCTGCCGCCACCGCAGGAGGAGGAAAGAGCAACGAGGGGTGGGCGCCGATCCGCATCGTGGTGTCCACGGAGGACCT